TAACACAATCAAGCATTATTTTATAATATTCAGTAGCAAAGACTTAGAAGCAATTTAAGTAACACTAATAGTGAATACACAAATAAGTGCGATATATATATAAACACCTGTATGTACATACATACATGCAGGAGTTATTAATCAATTATAAAATAAAGAAATCCTTTAATTTAAAACAACATAGATAATTATTTTAAAAATTATGTTAAGTGAAATAGATTAGATAAATTAAAAAATCATATTGTATGATCTCACATATATGTGGAATGCCCCCTATTTCTCCCCCAACCTAAAATTTGAATAAAAGAGATCAGACTTGTGGATACCAGTGGCAGGAGGTTGGAGAGAGAATATTGGAGGTCAAATGGCACATGTGTCCAGCTATTATTGGGTGAAGAAGTACAAGTATATAATGTACAACATGATGTCTATAATGTTCAATATGATGATTGAAACTGATAAATGGTATATGAAAATGTTACAAGGGTATATACTAAGAGTTCTCATTATAAGTAAGTATTTTTTAAAACTTTCTTTTCTTTTTTCTTTCAATATTATTATTTCTAGAAGAGAAAACAAAAGTTCAGTAAACTCAATATGGTAACCATTTTAGAATGTCACAGTCACGGTCCTTCCATTTGTTCATCAATTTGCTCGAGCAGGCCCAGTAATGTCTCCATCATGAGACTTGTTGTTACTGTGTTTGGCATATTGAATACATCACGGGTAGCTTGCCAGGCTCTGCCGTGCGGGCGAGATACTCTCGGTAGCTTGCCGGGCTCTCTGAGAGGGGCGGAGGAATCGAACTCAGGTCGGCCATGTTGGCTACGTGCAAGGCAAACACCTTACCCGCTTTGCTATCGCTCCAGCCCATTTTAGAATACAAAAAAAAAATGAAATCATGAATCTATATGCCTTAAAATTATAGTGATACTTGTGAATTATTTCTCTATTAAAGTACAAAGATAATTTCTGAAAATTTAAATTATACATGATACCATTAGCTGTTAAAGATGATGGTTAAAAACTTAACTGCTTATGGGCAAAATACCCTTTTTTGATAATTGGATAGATTTACTTTGTCTTGAAAAAAATACAAGTTACAAACCACTTATCTTCATTATTCTTCTATGGCACTGTATAAAGCCACTGATTTTCATGGAGTGAAAATGATTGATGGAACTCTGAATAAATTTTTTATCTTTCTATATCTCAAATAGTTATAAAGTCAAAAATGTGAATAGATGACATTAATAAATAATATGGCTCAGGACGCAACACAAAGGGATGAAGCTCTTTCTTAGCATGCACATGGCCTCAAGTTTGATCACAGGCACCACCTGACTAACATTGCTGGTATAACCTGTTTTTTTTCCTATGTTTATTGATGAACACTCTGTTGAATTACTAGTCCCTTCATTCATAAAAGGCTTTCAAGATTTTGTGTATTCACCATGTAGATTAAGTCTTAGTTTTTTCATTCCCTCATTTAATGTTTTCTTATTACTCTAGATCCTGGGTATTTTTCAACTCTAAATTAATGAAAAGCACTGACCTGGCCTGAAGTTCCAGATTCTGTCTTTAGTTTTGTTAATCCCATTAGGACGATACTTCCTAGCTCTGCCATCACCACTTTTAACAGGAGGTTGTCTGGGGAAGGTCTTGATACCACTTTAGGCCTTGTATCTTGTTCTCACCTGACCTGACCACAGCTCATTTTTTCAATCAAGATGATTTTTCTTTAGTGAGACTTTGGACAAAGGACAGGAGCCCACTGATCAGAGGTAGCACTTGGTTTAATCTGTGCTGCAAACTCTCAGTGGTAAACTAGAAGCCGTGTGACCTGCATTAAGCTTTTAAATCATGCTGAGCTTCATTCTTCTAACATGGAAAATAGAAATGTCAGCACCTACCTTACAGTTTTCTTATGAATATTAAATGTGTGACTATATGAGAAGCAAATAGAACAGTGGCTGGGACATAGACTTCAGTGCTGTAGCTGTGTTTCTCAAACAAGTGGGAAACTAATGAAGAGTAGCAGAATATGCAACCCCAAAATTAGACTTATTGACATAAAATTGTTTTAAGCTGATTTTTTTGAGAAACAGCAGACACTGTAGAAGCTTGGAAAACAGACTAGAAATATAATTGCCCCCCCTTAATTAGAAAATTAATGACAAAATTACCTTTGGTAGGGACATGTGGTATTTAAAAGACAAGTCTCCTCTCTGTACCAGGAAGAGAAGGATGTCTAAATTACAAGAAATTCTTACTAATGGAGAAGGCTATGGATTTTAGCCTTACCCTAATTTTCTGTTATTTTTTGTAAGTCTTTATGGCAGAATCTCTTGCTCCCGCGCCAGACTGTCTTCACTGGGGTCCCTTGGAGGGGTGCGGGTTGATTTTCCCTCCCTGCCCCAATCAGAAGCCTGGCAGCTGAAAACCTCTGGAACCCAGCCACAGCCATGCTCAAGACCACTCTCCACACGCTCTGTTGAGCCTCATGCATGAAGGAAATGGCAGAGGAACCCAGGGCTGAGATCTCCAAGCCTGCTCAGATCGGGACTGGGTCTCCTCCACCCAGATCCCCCATTTTCCAGTAGCTTGGCAGACACACCCACAAACTGCCCTCAGTGCCATGTAATTCCATCAATGGCCAAGCTGCAGAGACTATAAAACAAAGCTCCTGGAAGTGTACAGCCACATTTGCGGCCAAGGGGCCTCTTATAGTCTAGCCCACTGACGTACCTAAAGCAGCACATATGTGTTTGGTTTTAACATACTTGCTTGTATTCTCTTATATACATTCTGTCCCTCTTGAGAGCCAGCAAGCTACTGAGAGTATCCCACCCATATGGCAGAACCTGGAAAGCTACCTGTGGCATATTTGATATGCCAAAAACAGTAACAATAAGGTGTCTCATTCCTCTGAACCTGAAAGAGCCTCCAATATGGCAGTGTTGGGAAGAATGAGTAAGGAGAGGCTGCTAAAAACTCAGGGCTGGGACGAATGGAGACGTTACTGGCTCCTGCTCGAGCACGTCAATGAACAATGGGATGACAGTGATACAGTGAAATAGTGATAATTCTTTATAGTTGACTACTTCCATATTCCCCACTTCAGTAGGGGTTTGGAGTGGGGTGCTACTCACATTCAGAACCTGTTTTCAGCCTGAGTATCTCCCTTCGTGTGTATTTACAGGTATGCCTGTAATAAATTTCTGTTTCATTTTCTTTTGTATATAGGAGTCTAAGATAAGAATTCAAGAGCACAGAAGAAAAATATTTTCCCTCTCTTACACAAGCATGTGGTAGAGAAGTAGCAATGACTGGGAAAATAGTTATAGGGTCCATCAGAGATGTCTTTCAAGTACATGAGAGTAGAGATGAGACCAAAGTGCCATGCATTTTAACACTTCTCTTATAGATGCTAGGGTATCAACCCTAGGAACAAATTTAAAGATGAGACACTTACCAAAACTTTCTCACCTTTTCTTTCCTTTAGAAAATATGTAAAGCATGTTACCTCCTGTTATACTATTTGAAGATATCATTATTAAAATATTGTACTCCTCCCTAGTTCAAAGCAGATGTGATAGGCTAGGAACACATGCCAGTAAATTAAAAACAGCCCCTGCCCAGATAAAACCATAAACACTCTCCTTTGTGAAAGAGATAGTACTCAGACAAATGTGCACTTGCTTGTTAAGTAACAACTGTGATAATTACACTAAAGCGAAAAATAATGTGTAACAGGAGACCTGTTCTAATTCTTAGAGTCAGGACAGAGTCCTTAAAGAGATTGTATTTTAGGCTTTTTCCACTCTAGAAAAGCCTATGTTCTCTCTTGAACACACCCATCTTTCTCTTCTCACGCATCTCTAAGTTAATTTCTTTAAATAAAAACTATTTTCCGTCACTTAAAAATATGTATTTTAACTTAAAAGTTTGGAATTTGGAGTGGTTGAATTGGCTAAGGGTCTGTTGTTTTGGGAGAAAATAAAAACTTAATTTAAGCAGAGGAAGCAGGTGAAAGTTTCGGAACAATTAGACACTCAGATTAAAAAATAAAATGACAACAATTAATAACTTCTTTTAAAAAGAAAGCAGTGTTAGTCACATGTGATTTTTGTTGTTGGTGGTGGTGTTGTTTGTAGTACTTGAAATCAAACCCAGAACCTTACAAAAGCAAGTAAAGTGATCTACTACTGAACCACAACCCTGTTCCTAAAATCAGAAGTTTTATATAAGCACATACTTTTATTTTCCACGGGTAGGTTGTGTTGGTGCTATATAACTTGTTGAGCAATAAGGAATATAGAGAATAATTCTGATTGTGGGTGGGGACACTTCATGGAAGAAATAGATTTTTAAAGGCTTGAACTTCAATACACAGGAGTAAAGCAGTAGATAGGAAATTACAGAAAAAAATGTTACTCTAAAATTATAAAACCTTTGAAATTAACTAAGATGTTAGAAATTTTTGTATTCTTTTAGTTCCCTTTTCTGGGCTCCAGAAATTTGGATGAAAGCTGTAGCCATAGCCATTTACAATGAAGTTGTCCTAATACAGGTTTTTGATAAGCTGTTTTTAGTCTTTAATAAATAAGAAACAATGCCATTGTCCCATACAAAATAGCTGAGGTTTTGCTTGAACAAAATCTGTTTGGAAATGTTAAGCTGGTTACGCAGAACTAATATGTCTCAAGGTGGTCATTCTCTCTGGATTAGAGCTGAGGAACAATTGTGGCTCCTGTTACAAGGAAAATGACAAAGAGCTTTTATGCTAAGGGACAAAAATCTCTGTTCCCAGAGGGGACTGACAAGCTGAAAGTCCCCCTGTACAAGCCAACACAAAAGCCTGATTGCCTCAGATTGTTTGTTTATGTAAATCAAAAGGCTGCCATTAATTCTACAAGTGAAACTGCTAAGCAACAAAGAAGGGAGTGATTGGCCAGATTCTTGCCCATGGGCTTGGTGCAAATCTGACAAATCCTATTGCTTTTGTTCTAGGATCTATCTGGACACATTTAGGAAAATAAGCTTGTTATTATGTATTAAAGTAAATATTTTTTCACTCCAAGCGTGGGAGCTGGAACTCTAGGACTTGAAGGCAAGAGAACATATCTCAGCAAGGATCTATTCAATTTCTCCAAAGCTTTCTTCATATCCATCAACTGAACACCATGACGGATATTACAGAGACTTTCAGTCCATTTGAATGTAATGGGGATACACCACCTGAAAGCAGTCAACAAACACTCACTAAAATCAACGAAGAAGTCAGTGATGTGGATGGCAGCCCACCATACTACAAGGAAGAACCTAATCCAGAAGATTTATCCCCAGAAGTAAATCAGGAAGAAATTGAAAAGTTACAAGATAATATGCATCTCAAATTGTCCATGGAGGAGAAGATTCTAGAAGGTAAAGCAATTTATGTCTCTTCAGTTTATTTGAATTGTAAATGCATATGTACTATTAGTAGTAGTCACTGTCACTGTCCTCCCATTGTTCATCAATTTTCTCGAGTGGGCCCTATATTATTATTATTTTATATATATATATATATATATATAAATTGTTATGCTAAGAATAAGCTGTACTTCTCCCAACCTCTGCCTCTGCCCTTATTCTATAAGGATTATAAAGTTTAAGGATAAACCCACTGCTTCTGATCAAATCTAGATTTATTTATTTGAAATCTCTGAATCTATACCACTTTCCTAACCTTCTGAATCTTTAGTTTTCTTATTAGAAGGCAGAATAATAGTTTTAATATTTGTACGTTGTGATGATTACTGTTATTTTAATGTTTTTTTATTCTTAAGGACAACCCTATAATTACTTGAACACATAAAATTGAAAATTTCTAATTTTCCTTCTATATATACCTGCCAGTATCTGAACACTAGGTTCTGTATATCATCAATATGTTTATAGATAAAATAAATTAATGATAAAAATGAGTGGGAAGAGGTGAAGTAATAATTTTTAGTAATTATTACTTTTCGCGATCACAGTTATAAAGAAATCTACCTAGAGTCTAAGTTTATTTTTTCTAACTCTTTAATTATTTATCTATAAATTATTGATCTTATTGGGTTTTTCCCCTTAGAAAAACCAGAAGAGAACCTCTTTATTGTTCATAAGGCCATTACAGATCTTAATCTTCAAGAAATGAATGTTGATGAAAAGCCATTTAGAGAAGGTAAGAGGAGTGTTCATTTTATACACAGAAATGGTTTGGCTAGAGATGGATCACAGTTTTTGTACAGAATGTTGTATGAATGTGGTGTTAAAAAAGCAAAGCTAGGCAATGACTTGCAAAGCAAAAGACTGCCACAGGCAGATAAGAGAGTCTATCTCTTATCTATCTATTAAGACCTCTCTGGGAGTTCCTCCTTAGTAGTATTTCAGACAGTTGAAACTGATTAGTTTGATGTAACTGATTGGCATACTTCAACCTGATGTTATAGTTGTCTCTTAATAACTTAGTCTAGTAAAGCAACTATATTTAGTGTCTCCTATCAGTCTCAGACACCTTGAGAAGTGTTAATGATTGAATAAATAAATTTACTTCTGTAAGTTTACTATTGACATACAGATTAAAATATTTTTTTAAATGCATTGATTATGTAGGAAAATTTCAAGCCTCTGAGGTAAGACTAATAAGACATTTTCCAAGAATTTTCATAGGTGATACAATTTATTTATTAGGCTTTTAGAAAAAGAGAGAATAAAAAAACAATGTTTCTAAGCAACATTATCATACTTGAAATAAACTCATAACTAAGAGATATAAAATCTCTTAGAGTTATATGCAGATATGCACAAGCAAGCAGTTTGCAAATAAAGGATAAAATTAAAAATAAATTAATTGCTTATCTCCTTTCTTGAAGCCACATATAACTTATCTCAAAATTGAACTCAGCTTATTAATCCTGATTGATTTTTAATAGAAGATTAAAGCAAAAATAATGAGAGCCTTATTGAAATATTAGAACATCATATAAAATAAATTCTAGGGAAGAATTTATTCTTGACAATGCATTGAGCTTTTCTTTTTTTGCCTGAACATCTCTCAGATTATATGCTAATGCAATTGTCCACTCTGTACAGATTTAAGGATGAATACCATAAACAACAGCCATCTTAAGCTCTTACATTATAAGAGATAATTTATGACCTAAAATTCTCGGAATGGATTCTTCTCTCACTCTTTATGTTCATAGTACAGCAAACTCTCAGAGGTAGACTCTCAATAATTTATCTAGAAGTTCTTTCAAATTTCGAATTAAAAAGTTCATTGTAGAACACATTTTCTGTAATCTTTCATGTTGACCAAATTAAAATGAGAGAAAAAAATTTGAAATAATCTCAGGATGAAATTTTTCCTGAATTGATTTTGGTGGAGTTCAAATTTTTCTCTAGTTTAATGGTACACACTATGGTATCTTCATTTTCAGAATGATCAAGAGGTATAGTATCCAGAGAGAATGCTCCTGGGTTAAATAAAAGCAAGACGCTAAAGAGATCAAGAACAAAGTTCAATTTAAATTCATGGGGTAGCTTCATGCATGATAATTCCATACCTGACTTATAGATCTAAGCAAAAGATTAGTTTCTCTGGCTCTTGTGGAGGAAAAAAAAAAGAAAAAGAAGAAAAATGAAAGCAAGCATGCTAATGAATATGGTATATAATGCAAAAGTATTGAAGGGACAACTGTGGTCTAACAAGTTAAAAGGGATTATCCATCTTCAATCATTTATCTCTTTGTAAGATTATAATTTGATGCATAGAAATGAGAAAACAAAATAACAAAATGGAGGGTAAGAGAAAAAATCTTGAATGGAAATGAACTTGTGGAGCATCTCCATGAAATTAGAAAATTTTGGAAATGAATGTTTACGAGGAGCACTACTTCTCATCTTATTTAATGAAAATAAACAGAATATTAGTAATGAACTAATAAACCTAGATATGTCAGGTCCATAATATAAGAAATATTTTTGAACTGTCTATAGACTGAAGATTTTCACAGATGATTCTTTAGGGGTAAAAGCACAGAGAACAATCTTCACTTCCTTACAATTATTTTTAGTGTACTCAATAAATATGATGATATTATTAGTTGATATGTTCTGCTTAAAGGATCAAGAATTTGTACAGGTTTCATCAGTCATGACTGTCTCCAAAGAATTACAGTCAATAAATTATCATTAAATGCATGTCTAAAATAATAGGTGTATATAGTACCATATAGATGTGAATTCAGTGTGATTTAAAAATCTTAGCTCTCTGAAGTCACAGATTTTAGATTATATTGTGTGCTTTGATGCCTTGGTGTCCTGACTGACCCAATGCATGACTCTTGACATCCATAACACCAGTTCCTCCCTTCATTTCTAGCACTCTGAGGAACACTGTGGCATTGGAAACTAAATATTTTCCTTTATGCATAACTAAATGTTGGAAATCATTCTTGCTATGGGAAGAAAACATTTTTTCTCCTGTAAGATTTTTTTTCTAATTTTTCTTCAAGAGTGTATGTGTATGTGTGTGCATGTGTATATATTTATGTATGTATGTGTACATGTATGAAATAAGTTTAAATATTCTATATACTTATGATCAGTTATAAAAACCTAGAAGACATTTAAATTTTTTTTAGAAAACTTCAGTCTCACTAGAGATATAATAGTCTATAACAAATTATTTCCATAGTCAAATAAGGTTGAGTCTCTGAGTTTACTGAAGTTTTACATAATTTGTTCAAATTTCAGAGGTTTGGATAAATTCTGAAGATTAGTTAACTGTATTTAGTACAGTATTTTCCAAACTTATTTGGCATTCTAGTTCATTTTATTGTGTAAAACACATTTTAAATCCACAGAATAACTCATAGAAATAGTTGCCAAATAAATATTCAAAAAGTAATTTGGAGACCAACAATTGGGCAATGTATAATCTCTGCACATATCAATTACCAATTGATTTTGCTACAGGGAATCAGTGGGAGAAGATTCCTCTGACTGGGAGTATCCAGGAAATAGATAGACAAAAAGAAAGGATTATTGAACAAACTTTAGAAGAGAGAGAAGATGAGGACAAGACCAAAGTTTCCCAGGAAGCTGAAATTGAATGGCTGGGGTTTCAGAAATCTCATCAGATCAACATACTGAGTTCTAAATATGATGAGGAACAAGAGGTTTGGGATGAAGAAATTAATAATGAAAATGATGATAATAATGATGAAGATGAAGATGAAGTCCGAGAGATAGAATTTAAGAAAAAAAGTGAAGCCAGTTCTCAATTAAAAGAAATTGATGCAAGTGAGGATTCCCCACTCAGTAGCCCCAGTTCTCAACCTGTGACACCTGATGAGCAGCCTACTTTGGTGAAGAAAAGTGATATCTCCAGAAATTCCTACTCAAGATACAATACAATATCCTACCGGAAAATCAGAAAGGGGAATACAAAGCAAAGAATTGATGAATTCGAGTCTATGATGAATTTATAAACTAATTGGAACTGAGAGGTTCTCATGCCCACTAAAGCAAGCTAATTCTATTTTCCTGAGATTCATCGTCATATGCCTTGTTTGAGTCATCCCATTTATGAGAGTGGATGCTCACTGTTTAACTATAGAATAATGTGGAAATAACCCTAGATGAAATTCAATATGGTAACTTCAAATCAAAAAAATCTTTAGATTCATTTCTATGCATTCACTAATATGTGTGATAAGCACTAAACAACCAGCATCACTGGGAAATCTGGCATTATTTGTCTTTACAGTAGTAATGCTGGGAAGTGTAGCTGTCAAATGAAAAAAAGGAATATTTGAAATTATTTCTGTATTACTTTTTTCCCTTGTTTTTTCCTCTTGTATATTCAAGCTGATAGAAAATCTGTTATTAAACTTTTCTTAATTTTAAATGTGGCTTTATAGATATTGGCAATAAACATTTCAAAATACTTTGTCTTTTATATTATCATTAAAAATGTTTAAGAAACTTCCTTTGGCACTTAAAGAGTGAAAATTATCTTTAGGTCTCCTTCACTAAATTTTTTTCACCAGAGGACTGAACAATTGTTAGGAAGGAAAATTCTATTCACTAAATGTTGACTTTCCCTTTCAAAATGAATTCAATCCATTGTGAGGGTGATACAGGGAGGAACTAGAGGATTGATCGGTAGTAGACTAAGGAGTTATATTGGACAGTTTTATTTCTGTGGCTAAACATAAAATCTTGTCTAGCACACTTAAAATCATTAAAATTGAAAATGACAGCTTTAGCACAACTTTAAGAAAATATCCCCTCTATTACCAATCTTTGCCTTATTAACAGTATCTCAGAATAATTTTCTTTCCCAAGAAACCTGGGACAACTTTAGTCATAACTGTACTAGCTACTTTAAAAATGGGAATGATTATCTTAGAATATTTTCAAAGCAGAGTGTGAGCATGTATTTTTAGTGAGAAGGCACTGATACTTGTTGGGAATATATAATTTACTGGACCTCAGCCCGAATCAAGATAGATGCTTAAAAATTTGCTTGTGTAGCTTCACTCAAACCAATGTGTCAAATAATGTATTGAATATTTATGAAAGGGGAGAGTCATATTTATATTCTTAGATAGTTCCACGATTTTTGTTTCATGCTTTCATATATATTACCCAGAGTTTTCTATCTCCACAGATAAAGATGTTTTTTGGGTCTGAAAATAAAGACAATCCCTTATTGTCTGAATGTAATATGGTCTTCATTGTACTATTCAACCCTTTGTTTACTTCTTTTCTCTTTTGTGAAAAACCCAGGGCTAGTTTTTCTTAGATTATTGCTTATTTATGTGTAACAAATCCCACACATTCTAATGGAAATTTATTTAATTCTTCCTCGTTTTATATTTCCATAGTATCAGATACAGTTATTTAGTTTTTATAAGACTCAAAACTGAATTAAAGATTGAGATACTCCTCCTTTTTTTCTATTTTAAAAAAGTATTTAAATAGATACTTTCAAGCAGAGTATATAAAGTTATGTCACATAATATCATTATAACCTATAGATTTCATTAGTAACAATGCAAGTTTTCAAAAATAAAGAGCATGAAAGCATGTCATCATTGACAACTTTAAGTAGAAGATGGATAAACAAGGATGATCTGCATTTTATATGTATTTTGTAAATTTTCCCACTAGACAAACTATTGATTTAACTGGAACACTGATTACCCCTTCAATTTTATACTTAACTTTAAAGCATAGTACTGTGTTATTCATCTGGGAATAGGCTTATAGTGTTAACTTATCATTAATTGAGTCTGTATTTTGAATTATTCTAGCATAGATGTTAAAATTAAGGTATGGTGAGTGACCTACATGGTCAAGTAACTAACTCTTATGTGAGCTCAATTTAAGAACTCTTGCCTTTTAACTTTTGACCCTTAAGGGATGAATAATCAATTATCGGAATTTTTCAACCAAAACTATTTCAGGGATGTTCACTGCTAAGTGCTCATGGATGAGGAATGATTAAGCAAGAGAACACTAAAATTGTACTTTGGTTTGGGTGTTTATTTTAATTATATCACCAGTTCTCACAAAGACAACAATTTGGTGACCATGGTGATGTGTGGCTATTTGAATCTTTGATCTAGGAAAGAAAAGTGTCCGGTTCATACTGTATATGGGACTTTAACAATTTGAAAATTCATTGGGACAAATTAAGAACAAATATTTATGTCAACATTCAAAGATGATCTTATTTGTGATTTCAAGCTTTCAGATAGATGGAGGACTTTAGGTCATAGCAGGAGGAACGTGGAATTTTTTTTCTGAGAATTCTTATATTTCTCACTTATACAGCTTTATATTTTCTGAGTCAACAGAAATTGAAATTGCTCATGTAAAACTTACCTTTAGTGTAATGTTAACGTTGAAGGCTATCTATTTATCTATCTCCAATTCAAATAAAGAATTACTGTGTCTAACTTGTTCACAATTACTGTTCTTAATTTGGGCATCTAGGTGTTATTTTCTTTAGCTGTATTTTATTTTATTTTTGTTTGGGAGTCATACCCATGATGATGAGGGCTTACTCCTGACTCTATGTTTAGTGGTCACTTTGATGAGATTCAGGGGTCCTTATGCCAGGGAGGATGCTGATTATCAAACCCAGGTCAGCCACTTGCAAGGCAAGATTCCTACCAACTCTACATTCTCTCCATTCCATTCCCTTTAGATGTTTTTGAAAATTTAGAAATGAGCTTACATTTCTGAAACTATTAAGAATATTCATAAGTGCTGCTTTTGGAATCGAGTGCATCTTATTTAATCTATTTACATACTTTTAAAAGTTTAAAGAATTTCTGTTGGTTAGGTGTTGGATATTGACCCTAAGTGTTTTAAGTATATTGCCCCTTTTCCTCCTCCCAAAGAATCTTACAGCGCTCTTATGAGCACCCCTAATACCCTGAGTTTACCTTTAACTTTTTCTTTGTGATCTACCTTTCATTATGACATTCTCCAAACTAGTATTGATTACTTATAAGCCCAAACTTCTGGTGATTCTGGACTTTGTATTTGAAGTGAATTAATTACTTGCTTTTTTTATTCCCCTATGATCTTTCCATATTTTGCTATAGAGCAATGTCCTTTGCTTAAACACAGAAAGACAATGCTGTGATCCTAATATTTGAAGTTGAATGACTCAAATATATCTACTCCTGGGCATCCATCATAATTACTTGGCTCAGGTATCAGTTGCCGTAGTTCCTAACACCGCACAAACATCCTGCTGTGGGACTGGGGCAGGCAGTGAGGCTACCCCAGCATCGAAATGGGACAATCTAGAAAGCATAAAAGCATGGTCTTGTTGAATGCTGTTATGACTTAAGAGACAGGACATGTATGTGGAAGGACAAGTTGAACAGGACCGAGGACTTAGTTTGAGATTTGTGGTAAAAGCCTTGCTTCCCCTTAGAGCCAGACAACCAAATTTTGGAAGCCATATCTGTTCCTACCGTGTTTGCTAAATCGCTGTAAGTATTATTAAGAAATAATTTTAATTGTTTAATATGTACAATGAAAGGAAAAGAGAAAAGCATTATAGATGTCCCTAGGAGACAGAGTGTCTCCTTGAGTTAATCACCCCCAAGAGAATTGCTTCCATGGAAAATCTTTACCACTGTAAATGATCAATCACACCTACATGCAGTCCTATGCCTTCATATGTTCTATAAGTATGCTAACAGTTCTGTATTAAAGAGCCCATTTTGACCATGTGTCCATGGTCCCCCGCCTCTGGGGTTCCTCTGCTAGTGAGACAGGGGAGGTGTTTATCAGCCAATGAATGCACGTGGCGTGCACCCACACTTTCTGAACTCACAGGTAGATATATAATGTTTATGACTTTTCAAAATTACTTTTATAGTAATTTAATTATTGTTTCAGATGAATTTTAACTTCCAACAACTTGTAAAGCAGTGTATCTTTGTAGTCATTAAAGCAACACATTTAATCCATGTTAACACTTTCATAGAAATTATTTCATTGTATTTGCATGGAGTTATACTCTTGGAACGTCTTCAAATGAATAATGGGCATTTACATTTTTCAAATTAATGGGAAAAAGGCAATTTTAAATAAATAACCAAATTATGGAAAAAAGATGAAATATCCATAAAAATGAATTTTTTTCCATGTGAGAAAGAAAAAAAATTCTCTTAAGGCTTGAATTTTCATTGGTTTATAAAAAAGATGATTTTAATAATTGATATCAAAATTTATAGCAAAAATCTTCCAATATTAAAATATCAGACAATAGCAGAATAACTGTGAATACCAAAAGGTGTATATATCTTAAGAAGAATATGAAGTTATTTGGTCTTAAAATCACCCAAATTACAATGAAAAAGGTAAGACCAAGAATAAGAAATTACCCATTTGCATGAAAAAAATCTACAAAATCAAATGATGGCTTGGAAAGGTTTGGAAGTGAATTTGAAAGTAATTAAAAAATTTACTTGGAAACAAAATTTCAGATTCAATTCATTCTTTATAACTTCTGCCACTCGAGGATAGAAAATTGGGGTACTTCAAATGTTAAAATAACTCCAAATCCCTTTATACTCTGCAGTTTTAATTGTGCTCTGCCATCATCTAGTGTTTTCAATAATCAAGATATTACTTTGACCCTTGCTTTAGCCTTATGTTTATGTTTATGTCTTGTGGTGAATACATATAAAACTGGCAATATCAAAGCAGATATTTGAAGGAGAATCACAGTCTTGTTCACCATCATAAATTTAACAACAAGTATCATAGTAATTTAAAGTTTGTACAATCCTTTTAAGTTTGAAACATTATACCTAGAATAAAACGATTATGCCCTGAGCCATGTTTGTCCTAAAGGTCATATGCAGACAAAGCTAAGAGAGAATTTAAAATATTCAAAAATATCCTTCATTTTCTGTAAGAAGAAACTCTTGCTTTTACTTTCTCCCAACTCAAAGCATAATGTGTGTATCTATACCCAGATCTGTATATATGCATATTTAGATACATTCATATGTTTTGAACAGCCAAGGCAAAACTGTAGCACTGTAGCACTGTCCTCCTGTTGTTCATCGATTTGCTCAAGCCGGTCTAGTAACGTCTCCATTGTGAGACTTGTAACAACAAGACTTGTAACAACTCCTTCAAATATCTGCTCTGATATTGCAAGTTTTATATATATTCACCACAAGACTGTGTTTGGCATATCAAATACATCACGGGTAGCTTGCCAGGCTTTGCCGTGCATGCGAGATACTCTCGGTAGTTTGCTGGGCTCTCCAAGAGGGGCAGAGGAA